CCCCCCCCCAAAAAAAAAGGAAGGGGGGTTGTGCAAAAGTGTGAATGAAATGGAAAAGACAAGACTAAGATGGATAAACAAGACTAGCACATAATAAGCAGCACAAAAAGAAGAAAAAACATAACGACGAAAAAGGCATAAAGAAAACAGATAGAAAGCAAGAAAAACACACGCGTATTCTTTAGCTAAAACAAAAGCCAAACAAACCCAATATATTTCACCTGAAAGAAGGTCCGAGAGGGGTGGGATGTACGCAGTCCTAATCTCTTTACCCCAAAGGGTAGAGCGATTTGTTTCTGTAAAGACCCCCGACTTGCGAAAAAGTGTGAGCGAAAAGGAAAAGACAAGAGCATAAAGGATTTAAACAAAGAGTTTGCACGTAATAAGCAGCAGAAAAAGCACATGCAAACCACCAGCTAAAACTAAAATCAGAAATATCGCTTGTAGTAAATCTATACTCTCTGAAAATTCTCAAACAATATAAGGGTCCGTTTACTAAACCTTTATTGGGTAAGCGCTTACCAATATTGCTTACCTTACCGATTGAAAATTAAAAGGACCAAGAATTTTAACCAGTAAAAAGCAAAGCAAGGGTCGAGAGTCTTACTTGGTAAGTGAGGGAAAATACTCTTACCCTGTAAGCACTTACCAGATTTTAGACGCTTGCCAACAATCCTTTTTGATGACCAAAAATGTTACATGATAAGGTAAGTGATAGTGATGTCTCTTGTAAATGAATGCTTACGCGGTTAGCATTCGGTAAATGGCCCGTAAGAGTAGTTTACAAACAATGCAGGCAAAGAATCAGACATAGTTTTGGGAAGATAATAATATGTGTGGTGTTATAAATATCGCCGCCTAGAGCTGCTTAAGGGACTTCTAGACATTAAGCAACCCCTACAGCTTAATTAACTGGCTACCTAGGAGTTATATGGCCCAATCGCTTCCATTAAGTTACTAATTGTTGAATTAAGTGTTTCAGAATATTAAGTGAAGATGAAATTCTACTTCTCCAAACATCTGGTTCATAAAAGCAGACTAACGTTGTTAATTTTTATCATTAGCTTGGGCTCTCAATCCAGAATTTGTTGCCACATCTAAGGTCTAATGCCAATGCTTCCAAACAAATGCAAGAACAATCTTATAACGTCCGAAAAGGTTTAGAAAACACAATCAATGGAATCTGCACAACAATGTAATTATAAGAAAGGTTTTAAAACGCGGGAAACGGGCCACGAGGAGTTTTCCCTCAACAAAGCGAGGCATAAGCCTAGAGGCGGTCCGAGGTGTAATCCCTGAGGTGTAAATATATATACACCAAAATATGTATATACTACACAAATATATATATATATATATATATATAGACTTGGGATCATGTGAGACCAACCTATTTTCGTGAGACCTGTGAGACCACCTTTTTACACTTGAAACTTCACAGCAAAATGTTGTGAAGGTGACTTTTTTTAACCTTCACAGTGTTTTTGCTGTGAAGGTTCGACTTTTTTTTAACCTTCACAGTGTTTTTGCTGTGAAGTTTAAGTGTAAAAATGAGGTCTCACGAAAACAGGCTTGTCTCACGTGAACCCAACCCTATATATATATATATATATATATATATATATATATAACCTTCACAGTGTTTTTGCTGTGAAGTTTAAGTGTAAAAAGGAGGTCTCACGAAAACAGGCTTGTCTCATGTGAACCCAACCCTATATATATATATATATATATATATATATATATAATAGTAAATTACTAAGGGCGCTAGTTCAGCGGTTCTTCACATAGGAAAGAGTGAAACCGTGACATAGGCTGAGAGGTTGTAGAAAAATTGGTTGCTTGGAGGAAGAGGAAGGGTCAAACCACGTTTTGATTGAAAGGAGAAAGCACTAGTTTTTTGGGTTTTAAAATATTAAAGTACACATTGGGGCCATGGAGTTTTGACTTTTAGTTTTTTTTTTTAAAAAGAGACAGTTATACTACAAAGAGAAGTACTACTTCTGCTATAAAGCTTATAAAAACCAAAAAAAAACATTATCAAAGCATATCATCTAAGGCGTACGCCGAGGCGAACCGCCTCACTAAACCAAGGCGTAAGCCTCGTCCAGGGTCCAAGAGGCCCACCTCAGGTGTTTTGGGTCGCCTTACCTCAAGGCGTACGCCTCAAACAATTTATAGAATCATGATTATAACTCATTATCACCTAATTTAGGTATGCTCGAGTAACAAGTTACTTCAATTTCACAAAAATATAGCTTTGCAATAGAACTCACCTACAATCGCCATCTTCCAAGTTCCCCTACCACGATTGTCCAACTACCGACAATAAATAGCCTGATCAATGAACGGAGGGATTTGCTTTATCTCAGTTCCAAGTTCTTGTTCAATCCTATACCTGAAAGAAGATAAAAGCTTGTAAAGTTGATGGAAGTGTGATGTCAAACCAAACAAGTCGAGCTTTTAACGAGCTACTCAAGCTCAACCTCATTTATCTTGAGCTCGAGCTTAATAATGCTCGAGCGCAAGTCGATCTCGAACACAAAAGAACTCGTTTAACTTAATGAGTTGAGCTTCATAGAACCAATATTCGTTTCGACTCGTTAAAAAGCTTCATCAAATTTTTTGAGCCGAGCCGATTGATTCGAGCATATACTTTTTCGAGCCAAACATGCTCATATGTTCATGAATAAGACAATAAAAATATAAAAATTATAAATCTCGAGCCAATAAACGAGTTAATCGATCGCAAGTACGAGCCCGTAAACGAGCAGTGAGCTCGAGCTTGATAACTCAAAAAATATTCGAGTTCAAGCTCGAGCCTGGTAAAAGAAATTCGAGGTGAGCTCGAATAACCTACTATTCAACTCGGCTCGGCTGATTTACACCCCTAGATCCTACAATGCAAGGAAACAGTATACATACAGATTGAAGCGGTCTTCATATGTGATCAGATTTACAGCTAACCCAAGGTGTCCGAATCTCCCAGATCGACCAACCTGCATATGAGTAATTTGAACATTAAAAATCATGATATATGTATAAGGGGGTGTTTGGTTGGTTTTCCATCAAGTTCTGTATGAATAAAACTTCCTGTGTGAATCTGACTGTATAGATTGGGAAAGTTTTCAACAGTTTCTCGTAGATGGAAGGAACGTATTTGTAATTGGGAGTGGCAGGTTTCGAAAAAACTTCGCTTTCTACATAAAGCTCACACTTGAAGCTTACTAAATAATTCACTTTCCATATCATTAAGCCACTACCAAAGAAGCATGTTTAGCTGACCAAATAAGTTGTTGGTCCCATTAAGCCCATTAAGCTGCTAACAAAAAGACCTAAGGGTGTGTTTGGTCACTGAACAGACCAGCACAGGGATCACTGTTCCACGTTTGGTAGGACTTTTATGTGGAACAGACAAAAACCGAGAGGAACAAAGTGAAAAAGACGTGTTCCACCCCCACCCCATGGAATATACCTATATTTTACCAAGATAGTCTCAAAATAAAACTTAATTCTCTTCTAAAACATCAAATACGCCTCCTGCTTTACATTTTATTCATTCTTTAAATTTTATTTATTGTATTTTATGCTCTTTAAACTTCCACTTTACTCCTCGAAATATTATTTTTATAAAGTTTCTATATTTTGATTAATTTATGTAATTTATTAAAAAAATATCAACAATAAAAACAATAGAGAAAATGTATAAAATAAAAATTGGAAAACTACATAAACTTTATATTTTAGTGTCATTTTAATCGTCTCGACGAAAACTTTCTAATGATATATTTTGTTTTAAAAATATATATTTTATCATAATTTAATAAATTACAAAAATTAATCAAAATATATTAACAACTCATTAGAGATAAATTGGTCATTTTATTTATTATGTCCTGTCTTGTCCAATTCTGTCTCACCAAACGTTGAACCATTGTTCTGTCCTATTCTGTTGTGTCCTATCCTATCTTGTATGAATACCAAACTTACCCTAAGTAAACCATGAGTAGAATTCAAACCATACCCTGTGAAGATATGTTTCCGAGTTTTTCGGGAAGTCAAAATTGATAACGACATTTACTGCTTGAATATCGATACCCCTTGTGAATAAATCTGCAATATTGTTATGTGACAAAAAAAATTAAGTTAAGAAAATAGTTCAAGTACAAGAAAAAAAGAAAACTATTGGTAGAGATGGCGGTTATGGCAAAGTACAAAGAAGCAATACCAGTACAGACAAGATTCCTACAAGCCCCGTTACGAAAATCATGAAACACTCGATTACGATGATCTTGGAGCATCTTTGCATGAATGTAGAAACAAGAGTAACCAAGCTCCGTAATTTTCTTGGCTAGTAGTTCGACCCGATTTACAGAATTGCAGAAAATGATCGATTGGTTTATTTGAAGCTGTAAAGAAAATAAAATCAGGTAATACTTCCAATTCATAAAAAACCAAGTCTAGGGCTGTAAACGAACCGAACGTTCAGCGAACCGTTCGGTGGGAAGTTCGTTTATTTAATAAATGAGCGAACATGAACACATTTTTTTGTTCATTTAGATAAATAAACAAACATGAACAATGATCTCGTTCGTTCATTTACGTTCGTTTATATTTCTTTATATATAGAGTAAATTATGATTTTCGTCCTAGTGGTTGGGTTGTTAATAATTTCAATTTCTAAACCACAATTTCCGGCCCTGTGGTTTAGAAATTGTGATTTTCATCCCTATGGTTTACAATTTATTGCTATTTTCGTCCGTAGACCAAGTACAAGGAACCAAAACAGTAAAGAATTGTAAGCCACAGAGACCGAAACAACAATAAATTGTAAATCATAAAAACAAGAATAGCAATGAATTACAAACCATAGGGATAAAAACCATAACTTCTAAACCACAGGGACGAAAATCGCAATTTATAACAAACCATAGGGACAAAAAAACGTAATTTACTCTTACATATATAAAAATTTAATATTATGACATTAATATGTAAAATCATTGATGAAATTAAATTTTTAGAATTCCTTTTTATCCCTCCCAAATTTACCAGGATTTTCATTTTGTTATGTTATTTTTGAGGAACGAAATGATGAGTAATGGTGGTTATTTTTTGTTCATTTGTGTTCGTTCGTTTATGTTCATTTATATCCATTCGTTTACGTTCCCTTAGCATCTTAACGAATGAACATAAACGAACACGAACAAGCACATTTTCTTAATGAACGAACATGAACACAAAAACTTCCATTCGTTTACCGTTCGTGTTCGTTTGGTTAAGTTAACAAAACGAACGCAAAGGAGCCTCTGTTCATGTTCGTTCGCTTCGTTTACAGCTCTAAGAGCAACTACTAAATAAAATTCAGTTATGAAGGTAAAACCTTTGAGAAAAGAGTATTCAGGCAGTGAACTTTCTGCCTTTCTTCAACAAAAGCGTAGAATTGTGTTATTCCCTTAAGCGTAAGCTCATCCATGAGGTTAATAACATACGGTTTCTGCAGGTATCTATCTTTGAAATCCTTAACTGTAACAGGAAACGTTGCTGAAAACATTAAAATTTGACGATTTGTAGGCATAAAGTGAATCAGCTGCTCTACTGAAGGCTGGAACTCGGGTGACAAGAGCTTATCAGCCTGGAAAAAAAATTGTAAACCCACAATCAAAATCTCGTCTTGGAATAAGAGCAGCAAATGAGCAAAACAAAATTTAAAATCAAGATCACTGTAACAGCTCGTCCCACATAGATAGAAAATGGGATTTGTGAGCTCCTTATAAGCCTCAACTTATGGGCTACCAATAACTTTCACCATGGTTTTAAGTTGGATTTGAAGTTATGGGCCAACCTGTTGCTTTGGGCTTTGGAGTGTTAAATCAATCTTGTGAAAGCAGACAACTAAAAAAAGTAATGGTCATAAAATGATGTTCATGAATCATCTGTATTCAGAGTTCATCTTAATCATCAAACATTAAAAAAAAAAAATAGCATCTATACCATAATTCTCCCTTTTTTAAGTATATAATATTTATATACGTCAAATGAACTCACACACCCTCCACGCCTTCGGTGAGATTTGAATCCTCAACCTCCTGGGAAAATGGGCGCTAATGGTAACCCGAGTACTGCTAGGCCAATGGCTCTTGGTCATAACACTCCCTTACCACCTATAGAATTCCAAAAAAAACGATATTCTGAAAATGCTAACACTAAGTTTACGAACTAAAACCCAATTTTGCACTTCTCCTGAGGCCTGAAATACATAGAGGCATATGCACATTTAGGGGCCTTTTACTAAACATTTACCGTGTAACCGGGTAAGCGCTTACCGATATCACTTGCAATGCATCAAACTCTATGGATTTGAACTATCAACATAAATTTTTGAGCTCAACTAAGGGGATGTTTGGTTGGTTTTCCAAGTCTTGTATGGATAAAGCTTTGTTTGTGGATAAATCTGACTATATAGATAGGGCCGGTTTTTGTATAGAAGGGTTTTTTTTCATAAATGGAAGGAGTCCGTTTTTTAATTGGGAGGGGCAAGTTTGGAAGAAAAACTTGGCTTTCTGCATAAAGCTCCCCCTTGAGAGCTTACTGAATAAGTCACTTTCTATATCAATTAGCCACTACCAAACAGTCGTGTATAGTTGACCAAATAAGCTGGGAGTCTCATTAAGCTCATTAAGCTGCTAACAAGCAGGCCCTAAGTAGACTAATGTGTGTGATTACTAACCAGGACCATGTACATGTGTGTATACATTTGGCAAAGTGTGTTAATTAGTTAGTGTGTAAGCTGGTTTTTCATTGGATAACTGTTGCTTTTTACATTGTGTTGTTAACCAAAGCTCCAAACCAATAAAAGTAAAGAGGAGATCATGCGACTATTAACGAAATTAAGTCATAAAATACCATGTCGCACCTCATCCATAACAAGCATCGCACAATCTTTAAGTACGCAGATCCCCTTCTTCGAAAGATCCAATATTCTTCCAGGAGTACCAACAAGTAAATGAACTGGCTGATACAGTCGCATTATGTCATCTTTTAAGCTGGTTCCACCAGTGGTAACCATGACTTGAATCTTTAGGTGTTTTCCAAGTTCTTTGCAAACTTGTGATGTTTGAAGAGCCAACTCTCGAGTTGGAACAAGTATAACAACTGCAAAAACAGAAAATCTTAGAGATGCACTAAGGAAACCCGAGTTATCTCTAAATTAAGCAATGTGCAAAGTATGTTGAAAACAATTGACGATGAAATTTACCTACAGTAAATTAAAAGCAATAGAAGATATATATATATATATATATAGACTTGGGATCATGTGAGACCAGCCTGTTTTCGTGAGACCCGTGAGACCAACTTTTTACACGTGAAACTTCACAGCAAAATGCTGTGAAGGTGACTTTTTTAAACCTTCACAGTGTTTTTGCTGTGAAGGTTCGACTTTTTTTAAACCTTCACAGTGTTTTTGCTGTGAAGTTTACGTGCAAAAATGTGGTCTCACGGGTCTCACGAAAACAGGTTGGTCTCACGTGAACCCAACCCTATATATATATAGAGAGAGGGGGGGGGGGTTCAGGGGAAAACCTCCCAAAAAATGAAAAACTAAGAAACACCTTGGTAACCATTCATCTCAACAATATACACATGTGCATACAAGTAATTGAAGTTGTTTCTTGGTTTCTAGGCACATGTGCATACCGAACAAATTACTTGTATGCATATGTGCATATCATACAGATGAATGGTTACCAAAGTGTTCCTCAGTTTTTCATTTTTTTGTAGTTTCCCCTGAACCTGACCTAGATATACATACACACACACACACATATATATATGCAAGGTCTATGCTTGTTAGCATGATCAAAGTGACAAGTCAAGACATAATCCTACTTCCAGGAGAAACTCGATTGCCAAAGCGCATGTGTGCGAGTTAGCCATTTAGGATATGTTTTATCTTGGTCACATTAACTCAACGTTGGATTTAAGACATATGTTGCAGTACATCAATCTATAGAGAACGTTCATAAGTCCATAGTGAGGCCAAGTTTATAACAGACAATCTGAATCAACGATTTTACTTCTGCAAAAGATATTAATTTATAGTACCAAAATAAGCACATTAAAGGGCCGTTTACTAAACGCTTACCTTGGTAAGCGCTTATTGATTCAATTACCTTACTGGGTGAACATAACAAGAACAAAGAATCTTACCCGATAAGAGGGAAGTCAAAGATCAAAAGTCTTACCCGGTAAATGAGAATGATGACTCTTACCTGATAAGCGCTTACCGAGTTATAAATGCTTACCATCAATCCATTTTGATGGCCGGGAATGTTATCCCATAAGATAAGTGAGAGTGGTGACTCTTACCCGGTAAACATATGGTAAACGGCCCCTAAATGCAAGTGATAATAACAAGCAAATAGGCCATTATTCTACAAGTTGGTGATTGAAATAACTCCACTAACTTCAGTGAACTCATAAATCATCTCGACATTTAAGTACTCATCCGTCTAATTTTACGAAAGACCATTTTCAATTGCACTCTACCCCATTTCTTAAGTGATTAATGCTTCACAGATCAAATATCAAAAGCTATAAAATAGTTCATATTTAGAACCTTGAATAACATTGCTATCTTGATCAATTTTTTCTAAAGCAGGAATGCAGAAAGCGGCTGTTTTCCCAGTCCCATTTTTAGCTCTTGCAAGAATATCGCTTCCCGTGAGAGCAATGGGGATGCTTTCTTCCTGAATTGGAGAGGGCCTCTCAAAACCCTTCTCATATATCCCCATAAGCAACTCACGCTTGAGAAAGTAGTCTTCAAATTCATTGCCTTTGGTGGCTGTCACATCCTGAAAAGAAAGGATATTAGAGACAAAAGTTTATGACAGTATATATTATATATGGTTCCATCTCCAGAGAGTTGGGGATTTAAACACTCAAGATTAGAGATGGCTAAAATCCAGCCCCGGGTCCAAATCGGCCTAGGTCCGAGATTTCCCTTTTGTAACCGGTACCGATCCCAACCAAAAACTCTGGCCCGTTCTCCATGTAAAAAGCCCGCACACAGGCCAGCACAAACCGGACCCAACTTGTTTTCCCAAAAACCAATTTTAGAAATAAAAGATTGTCTTTGAAGATTTTTTGTATAATATCTTATTGAAATACACATTAAAATCTCCAATTGGGTCATTAAAATACACTCAAAATCTTTTTTTTAAATCTTTTAACACAAAAATGTTATAAATGTTTCTATAATTACGATTTTTGGAATTTAGTATTGGAACACTTGAAGAGAACTTAAAAAAAACTTGAAAAACTTTTTAAAAAATTGAAGTTTTTGGTTTAAAAAATTGAAGTTTTTGGTTAAAAAACTTGATATGTAATTTATAAAAATGTAACGTTTTTAAAAATCAAGCCTATGTATAACCGGTCCAGGTCCCGTAACCGGTCTCAGGCCAGGCCTTGAATTTTCATAAAAATCGTAACCCGTCCTAAACCCGTCCTGGTCCTAAGCCAGTCCCGGGCCGGGATGGGCCCATTTTGGCCTTCTCTAGTCAAGATAGCATCATGCATGCAAACAAGTAAGTGGCACATTCAGGCCTTTGACCATTGAAACCAATTTCAGAATACACATAGTTCTTGTACAAGTGTCATGATCCAAAATATTGGCATACTAAGATCATTAGAATGCCACACAGACCTGAAGAGCCTTGTTTAGAAATTCAGACATATCCATTTGGTATTCTCAGACACAACAAAATGGGTACGAAAAATCATACCTTTGTGCAAACTTAAACAGAAATAAACAAAACAGTAACACATGATGCATGATTTCTTAATGGTAAAGCAGTCAAATGTAATGCATCCAAATTAAAATCAAAGGCATATAGATATAGATAACATCAATAAGCATACTTCTGTCCTGTATCGCGTATCAGCTGGTGGGAGCCTCAACTGTGCCTTCCAATCTTGGGAACTGCAAGAAAAAACAAGCAATTGGACTAGGCTAGAAATAAAAAAAAAAAAGCCATATTGTAGGTCAATTATTAATTAATCAATCTTGGGAACTGCAAGAAAAAACAAGCAATTAGACTAGGCTAGAAATATAAAAAAAGCCATATTGTAGGTCAATTATTAATTAATCACGAAGTAAAAGCATGTACATAAGTTACATAATAGCACCAAAGACCAGCCCATATCAAATTTCAAAATGAATTAGGACACTACAATGAAAAATCACGGCTAATCCTTTGCCACGATCCTATCATATCAGATTGAGACTACATTTGATTCACAAGTTCAGGTTATCTAGATAAGATAATGCTATGGATAGAATGAAAATAGAGTAAATTATTAAAAAGAAGTACAAAAAGTCACTAAGGGCCTGTTTGATTTATTATCCATTACGTTCTGAATCTATTAAGCTGTCTCTAAGCATTAATATGTCTAGATAAATTAAGATAAATTGTTGTTTGATTTTTGTCCAGAATAAATAGTCTGATTAACAAAAATTACCATTTTAACCTTATGTCTACATAAGTGTTGAATGAAAATAAACAGTTTGACAAAGATTTAAAATGACAAAAAAATTAAAAGTATAAATTATTTAAAAAACGTACATAATATGAATTAACGATTTCATAACACAATACTTAAAAACTTAAAAACAAGAAAGTATTATTGTTTTATTACAATTTTTAATTTATGCATGTTGGTAAACTATTTATCTTTTAATGAGACGTGTGATGAAAAATTGTAGGACAAGGGTAATTTTGGGAAAATTTCTAACTTAATGCATTAAGATAGAATGGCTAACTTAACATGTTAAGTCAGTCTCTTAGTATCAAGTTAAAATCAAACACCCTAATATAACTTAACCAATTAAGCTAACAACCCATTAAGCTTACTAAGTTGAAAACAAACAGCCATTAAGTAATCTTCTCATCTTTCACTTCAATCAACATGGTCATGGAGAACAAGGTACCACGTCTAGTGCTGTCCTAAAGCATATATCCTTCACTTTCATCAAGGATGAAACCCGATCACCCAAACAATCACCAATACTAAGTATGAGAATCTATGAGGTAGTTCACAGTTAAAAGCTCCTATACTTTGCAGCATCACATCATTTGAATAGTCTAACCAATCCCATGCTTCACCAAAAAATGGTCAAATGCCAATTATAGTAACGATCACCAGGGGAAGTAGTACAGATAATTAAGTAGAATTTCACCGAAATTTACATATAAATCACTACATTCTAGAATCACTATAGTTGGAGCAACCACACAATGGTACTTTGGCTGCTAGTTCCCTTTTACCAGGTCAACATCCTTAAAGGTGTGTTTGGTATCTAGACAAGACAGGATAGAACGGGACAGAACTAGACAGCTGGACAGTGTTTGGTAAGACAGGAGTGGATATGACAGTACTGGTAGAATAACCAATTTACTCCTAATGAGTTGTTTATATATGTTATATATTTTGATTAGTTTAAGTAATTTATTAAATTATAATAAATTAAATATTTTTTATAACAATATATATTATTAAAAAGTTTTTGTAAGGTAGCCCGGTGTGTACTATTAGTCAGCCTTGCAGCGGCAAAAGAATTCTAAGCCCCCCAATTGTTATATTACTATGTACCAAAACCAAAAAATATTGTCGATGGGATACAAAAAAAGAGGATCCTACTTTGCTCATGTCTACCTTACCAATTACAACAAGAATCAAAGGATGGATATGCACTTTGATGTATTTAATGTTTAAACTACTTCACAATTAATTTTTTCAAACAAATGGCAAAATCCCATGATCCATGAAGTTGTCTCGTTAGTTTTAACACATACACACCAATTTCCACCCCAGGAAACAAAAAAAGAGCATTATAGTTGCATGGTTCAGCGAAGGTTTTATAAATATGACTCTTTCATTCAAATAAGGTGCATCCCATTACAAAATGCAGCCTTTCAAAAGGACAAAATTCAGAAAAAAGAACATGGATCAAACAAAAAACAGTCTTTTCAACTGCCCAGTGTCTGCTTGACTTAGGTTCATATCCAACAAAAGTCACACAGAAAACAACAGCAATATACTAAGACATGTAAACAAGTCAACACGGATCGAACACAACTAATCTTCCAAATATAACCCAGTAGCCTTACCAGTTGCTCCAAGTTATAAAGGAACTACATGCCCTTGCATTTTCAACAAGGTTCCATAGTTGGAACGCAACTTTAGCTTATGAAGTTGCAGCTAGTGGCAGACAAAAGATAGAAGGCACTATACAAAGAAGCGGCAGAAAAGAAGGTCCGAAATCAGAAAATCTATCCGAATGCAAACAGATGTGAATTATTATGTATTCTTTGAGCTCGAAATAAGCAAGAATAGGATCTACATCACCAGTTCAACCAACTGGATGATGCAGCTATTCAGCCACTTCAAACATCAAAAGCTAACCAACAAACTTCTAATACCATACCAGCCATATATATCAAAGCAAAAAAGAAAGAAAGAAAGAAAAAATAGTACAAGTCATCTAAAGCACCAAGGGCCATTGAACATGGTTTTAAACATTTTTAAAATCTAATGCGCAGATAATATCTTACCTCTAAGATTAAAAAAAATCGCCATACATTCAATTTTCCTTTCTTAATAAGACAATATGAGAGCCAACAGTAATAATCAAAGTATTCAATAACCCAAATGAGTAAGCAACCTCAATGCTTTGTGTAATTAAATATCCATTTGTTTTGGTGTCAAACCCGCCCTCTGGTAAACAGTCTAACAAATGATAAAACACACAATGGACTACCAAGATTCCACCCTAGATTTCCCATCCTCTTCGTCCAACTTATTTGCAAAAATCAACAGAGCATGAGAATCGCCTTCCCCATTAAGGGCCTGTTTGTTAGCAGCTTAATGAGCTTAATGGGACTCGCAGCTTATGCGCCTGCGGTCAGCTATACACAACTGTTTGGTAGTGGCTTAATAAAATAGAAAGTGGCTTATTCAGTAAGCTTCTAAGTGGGAGTTTTATGCAGAAAGCCACATTTTTCCGAACCTGCTCCTCCCAAATAAAAACACTCTCCTTTCATGCATGAAAAAACCCTCCCAAACAAAAACCTTTCCAATCTATACAAACAGTTTAAACCACATAGACAGCTTTATCCATACGAGCCTTAAATGGAAAACCAACCATAGCTTCACAACAAAAAATAATAATAGGTTACATAATTACATTCAGTAATTCTCATAAAATATCACCAAAAAAACCATCAAAACATCATAAATATAAACAGAATAACTAAACAAAGCATACTTACAAAACTTCAACCATAATTTTAAGCACAAAACCACAATTGTACCTAGGGTCAGTAGCTTCTGACCGTATAGTCTTTTCGACTTCATCAACCACACTCGAATCATTTTCCACAGGGTTTCTTCTCAGCCACTGTTGTTGTTGTTGAAACTGCTGGTGATGCACTGGATTCCTTTGTGCATACTGTTGTTGTTGATAATTCTTCTGTTGTTGAAAATTAGGATTAGGGTTTCCATAATAATTCCCACCACCACCACCACGACCAATTCCAGGCGGATACCTTCCTCCTCCACCTCGTGCATAGTTATTATTCATTTCAAAGCTTTCTACCGGAAAAATCTCCCAATACCCTCACTAAAACTAATCAATCAACTAGCCGCCGATCCAAATGCCTAAATTCTCAACCCAGAAGAAAAATTAACAAAAATATTCACAACAATAGCTTGGAATTTGAGGATGGATCACAAGCAAAGAAAGGAAGTTGGGGGTTTTTGATTGTTGCTAACAATTAGAAGCAAAATCGTTGGCGTAAAAAAATATAAGCCAATGTTTTGCGAATTGGAATTGAACAACGAGTTTGGAAATGGAATTAGGAGGAAGGATCTGAAGAACTCACATAGATAAAGTTAGCATTTTGACCTAAGTCTAAGTGGGACAGAAATTGAAAACGAGAGAGCGCCCTGATCGGTTTTCGGAAGGAACAGAACAAAAATGGCGATGCGACCTTTCTACTTAGGGCTCAGATAGAATCCATTTTTTATATTAATATACGGAACTCGTTTAATACAATAAAATACATCTTGAACGATTTTAATGTCTTGTTTTATTGTGTATATTATAATATAATTTTAAAAAACGATAATATTTTTATTTTTAAATAAAATATAAATTTATAGATATTTTTAAAAAAATTAGAATAGTACTGACACAATATAACAAGATATATCTCGATTTTAATATCTAGTTTATTCTGTCTCTGTATATGTTTTATTACAATTTTTATATGGTTTTTGATAAATGAATAATGATTTTATTTTTGAATAAAATATAAATTTAAAGATATTATAAAATTTCAAAAATAAATATATCAATATTAGTATCAAGTTAACTATTTAAAAGTTATTGTTTTTGTGTAATATCTTTAATTTAATTTTTTATTACAATTTAATTCATATTTAATAATGAAGTAGATTATTTTTTATTTAATAAAATTTTTATAAGAATAATATTAAGTAATAAAAAAATTTATTTTTATATTTAAAATAAAATGTTTATATTGTATTTGACGATATTTATTTGTAATTAGTTACTCAAATTCAAAATATAAAGCTTTAATAAGTTGTATTTACGCATAATTTATTTGTAATCTTGTATTTCAAGTAATATGAATTAATAAACAGTACTTCACGCATAAAAAATGGTTTTTAAGAGTTTTTATCAAATGTTTTATAATATAGTATAGATTTAAAAATATTAATATTAATATTAAATTAACTATTTAAATATTTTTTATTTTGTTGTGTAATTTATTTAATTAAATTTTTTATTATAATTTAATTTAACTATAATAACGAATTAATTTATTTTTCATTTAATAATATAAATTTTTATAAAGATAATAATTAAGTATTATGTCAAAACACAGTGATTATCCTAATTATATTTTATATTTTTTATATTTAAAATGAGATGTTGATCCGGTATTTGATAATGTTTATCTGTAATTAGTTACACGAATTCAAGCATGAATCTTTAATAAGTTGTACTTATACATTATTTTTGTAATCTAAAATTTTAAGTAATATGCATCAATAAGCAGTACTTTATGTATAAAAATGGTTTTTAAAGGTTTTTTTTTGTCAAATATTTTATAATATAGTATAGATATTGCTTTTGTAGATAGGGTGGTTACACAATGTATTTTTATTTTTTTTATATATAAATATTTTTTTTTACAGGGAAGTTATATGACCAGTTATGTTGTATGGGCCTTAGGTTGTTAGACGATCATGAAGACTCGTAGGAGAAAAATGGAGACCGCAAAAATGAGAATGTTGGACCATGTTGGACATAAATACTGTACGAGGTCTTTCAGGCAGTGTTGGAAGTTGTGCATATCATGGATGAGGTAACGGAGAGAAGATTATGGTCGTTTGGCCACGTTTGTAAACGAGAGATAACAGCTCAATTGAGAAGTGTAGAAAGTGTGACAAGACACGGGCAAACCTACATAGGCCAATTGTCACCACTACATGGTTCCATCGTAAATAAATTGATGGTGGAGTTGGTAAATGTTGATCACTTTGTACGAAAAACCTTGGGTTGAAATCTCACCTTTGTCAAATCTTTTAGTTTGCAATTTAATTTTTTGCGTTCTTGTAGTCTGGGCTCAAACATGGGTCTTTTTTATGTAAGAACAAAGAACCAACCGACCATTCTACACGAATATCGTGAAAGTTTTCAACAAAGTTTGTTTTGATAGTGAAACTGTGCTACCCCTCATTTTTTCTGTGTCCGGCTCTGATCAAGGAGCAAAGGAGGAGGTGGGATCTGCAACAGATGTTGGATATGACAACGTTAGGCTTTTATGAGGTCAATAACCTTTGATATGAGTTACTCGAGACGCAAAACGAGGGTATCTGACTATAGGGTTGTAGATGGAAGAAGGGGTGCATAGAAAAGGGTATGCAATAGGGTTAGTGAAGGGTTGTTGGTTCCACACTGTCGGGTATTTAAATTTTTGATCTTGTACCTGCTTCTGTTTATACTATTGTTGGTTACTCCGTGTTCAATTTCCCAACATTTAACATATTTGTCTTGCAGTGTGTTCTAGTTTTAATTATGTTTTTTTCTTACATGGACTCCATTTTCATATATGTTTTCATCCATTTCACACACTTCTTACTAGTAAGGGTTTTTCAAAAATAATCGTTATACTCTTGCATGCACATGTTCATAGCATACAGATGAATGGTTATTATAGCGTTCTTTAGTTTTTCATTTTTTTCGGTTTTCTTACGCACTTATGTTTCCTATATATAGGGTCAGGTTCACGAAAAAACCGCAAAAAACAAAGAACACCTTAACAAACATTGATTAACTTTAATCCAATGATTATCAGAAATAACAATTTAACCAATTTAATGCAGAAGGGGAAAATGGAACATTTCATTGATTGATAGTCATTTTTGGAAATTTTATTTATCCTCTACATTTTTTTTAAAAAATATTCCACAATCTACAAAAAAATACTCCAATCGACTATTCATTCAATCTATGTGTTGTAAGCACATATGAATGAATCATCATATTCATTGTCTTTCAACTTTGGGTTGCATGCACATGTGAATGAATAACTGTATTTATCGTCTTTCATCGTTTGGGTTGTGTGTACATTTTAATGAGTCGTCGCCATCCTTCATTTTCTGACTTCAAGTGCACATTTGAATGAATAACCAAGTTCTTCGTTTTCCAATTTATGTGCTACATGGACATGTGAATGAATCATCATATTCAATGTCCTTCAATTTTCTAGGTTGAATACACATGTGAACGAGACACCGTATTCATTATATTCACATGTGCATAAAACCCACAAAACATAGTAGAGAGAAATATCAAATGTGATGTGATTATGGGGAAGGGGTTGATTGTTTTTTTAATATTTCCAAACTTGCCCTCAAATACAACATATGCACTTATTCAATGTTATATCCTTTTTAAAATATTTACAAGCATCTACCATAATATTAATCTTTGATTTTTTTTTTTTAATTCACTTCAATTTTTTAGAGTTTTCCTTTTAACCTCACTCATATACACCGACCCTCTCTCCATATACGTAGAGAGAGTCGGTTTCATACGATAACGACACATAAATAAGAAAATGGGCGAATCACATGTGATTTTACACTAATGTAAAATCACATGTGATTCTGGACGTAATTTGACCAATTATTTATTTATTTAGGTATTATTCTCGTATGAACCTATCCCCCCCCCCCCTCTTTCTGTATATATATGGGGCATATCAAATGCAAACCCAATAATTGTTACAAACTTACAACTCAATGTTCATGTGTTTTTTTAATATATGAAACAACACATGTAAGACATTTAGTGGCATCCAGTGTAATTTCATATGTGAAACTTTTAGAATCGTTTGAATGCAAAAAAACCCATCAATATATGATTTCACATAGAAACAAAAACATATGAAAAAAATATGAATCATAACTTAAAATCAAACATACTGAATAATTTGGATTTGTTTACACGAGTTTGTAACAAATATTGAGCTATCTTTGATATATGCCCCCCCCCCCCCTCTATATATAATATAGATATATAAAGTCAGGTTCAAACGAGAATGATATATGTTTAAGAGAATAGAATCACATGAGATTTTACACTAACATCACGTACAAATCACATGTGATCCACACAACTTTGCCCCACGACCTGAAGACGCCAACCAAAGTCACCCGCACACCTTTCTTGACCGTTAATGTGAAATCACATGTGATTTTACACGTGATTTGACCGTTTTCATATTCTCTTAAATAATTAGCGTTCTCGTTTGATTTTTCCTCTATACATAGTGTATCTCTCTCTCTCTCTCTCTCTCTCACACACACACACACACACACACACACATATATATATATATATATATAGAGAGAGAGAGAGAAAGAGATGTGGGTTATTATGCAACCCTTTACATTTGTACAACCAATAAAACTCAATCTCAACCGTTCATTTAATTTGATTAATATGTGATTTCATAAAAGTTTTGATTATTTCCTAATATAAAGTATTGATCATAATTAATGAACTCCAGTCATCTTTCATAAATATTCAAATCATAATAAATGAACTCTCATCATTTTCATAAATATCTCAATTGATTTGCATTTGAAATATACCATATATATATATATAGAGAGAGAGAGAGAGGTGGATTATTATACAACCATTTACATTTGTACAACCAATACAACTCAATCTCTACCGTCCATTCAATATGATGAATATATAATTTCATTTAAGTTCTGATTGTTTCCTAATATAAAGTATTGATCATAATTAATGAACTCTAGTCATCTCCCATAAATATTTAAATCATAATAAATGAACTCTCATCATTTTCATAAATATCTCAATTGATTAGGTTACATTGGTCATACAAATGAACATGGTTGTATTTGAAATATACCCCCTCTCTCTCTCTCTCTATATATGTATATATTATAACAAGAGATGATACAACTTTCCATGATCAACATCTTCCATTTTCAGTGCCAAAATTCATCACAAGATGATCAACCTTTTCTTTCAATGGAGCAACATTCATCATACCAAATATCTCCTCTTTGATCTTTGACCTTAATTCCTCCAACTTCTCTGCATTTGACCCTTTTGCTGCTTCTTCTTTCAATTCTTCAATTCTTTTTCTAACATCCGATCCATTCACACTTCTCTCAATCTCATCCATAATCTCCTTGTTAACATTCACCATTTTTTCTTCGAATTTTCGGTTCGTGATCCCGATAATTTCCAAATTCGCAGACTTCAAAACCTCCTGTAACTCCATCTTAGCTTTCTCCACTTGTTCTTCCAAATCTCGACCCAAATCTTCGCCTTTCGATAAGTTCTCACGAGCCCGTTTCAGAACATTGAACTTCTCTTTGATATCGGCCGAAACTTTCTGGTTGATCTCGGTTTTGAGTTTTTCGCTTTTCGTTTTCATCTCCATGAGTCTTTCGATCATGCTCAACTTTTGAAGCTTTTGCTTTAATGGCAGGTAGGCTCCGGGTCGTGATAGATTGTGCTTGAATTCTTCGATTATGTACTTCGCCTTTTCATCCAAACGGGATTCGTTTGGATCGGGATCTTTAGACATATCCATCTTCAAAGATTCGATTTTTTGTTGTAATCCCATGGAAATGCAAGCTTTGGTTATTTCTTCATCAAGCTCATGTTTCAGCTTCTCGATGTTAATGGGATCCGATGATCCTTTTGATTCTGAGATCTTCATTTTCAGATTTTTGATCTCTGATTCTAATTCCATTGCGTTTGTTGGGGTGATCTCGGATGGCTTCATGTTGCGTTTTCTTTCGGGATCTACCGGAATACCTTCTTGAAAACCTCCCAATCCCATTGAACGGAATTTCTTCATTCGATGGCGGATCAACTCGTCTGAATCCATCTTTGTTAGCTCCTGGGCTTGCAACGAGAACGTAGATCAGTCAACTAATATCGTTTGACTCTCACATCAACTGATTCTCAGAAAATAAAATAACTTTTACAAGAACTCTTAGGGCATGTTGGTTAGCAGCTTGATGAGTTTAATGGGATTCGCAGCTTATTCAGTCAACTATACATGACTGTTTGGTAGTGAATAATGATATAGAACGTGGCTTATAAATCCTACTCAGTAAGAGCTTCTAGGAGGGAATTTTATGCAAAAACCAAGGTTCTTCCAAACTTGCCCCTTCCAGTTAAAAAACACGCTACTTCCATCTATGAAAATACCCTCTCAAACAAAAACCTTCATAATCTACACGGACAAATTTATCCATACAAAACTTAGGGGTTGTTTGGTTGGTTTTCTATTAAGTCCTATAATAAAGTTGTCTATGTGGATTAATCTGTTTGTATAGATTGGGAAAGTTTCTGTTTGCGAGAGTTTTTTCATAGGTAGAAAAAGCATTTGGAGGGACAAACAACTTGTCTTTCTGCACAAAGCTTACTGAATAAGCTACTTTCTATATCATTAAGCCATTAGCAAAAAGTTATGTATAGCTGACCAATAAGCCGTAAGTCCCATTAAGCTGCTAACGGAAAGGCCCTTGATGAAAAACCAACCAAACAACCCCTTAGATCATCTCCAATGGAGTGATTTATAAGACCCAATTTTTGTATATTTTTTCTTGCCACGTCATTGCGAACATTGCCAACTCACTAAATTAAGAACCTTCCGTAAAAACCCAACAACGAAGTGACTTACAAGAACCACTTTTTTGTGGGTCCCATATACTTTTTTCACTATTAACTTTTATTATATATTTTTAAATCAATAAAAATTAAATTCAAGGTAAGAACCAAGGTTCTTGAACAAGAACGCCAAAAATATTGGTGGAATATCCCATCTGCCCTGGGTTCAATTTTAGGCGTCCACAACAATTGTGGCCATTGAGTATATCAGGGTTGATGCCTTACAGTCGCAATTTTCTGGATGCTCTTAGCAATAACTTAAGTGTGTTTGGTAAGGGACTCGACAAGACTGGATAGGCGAGTGTAAGGTAAGCAGGTGAAAGAATTGTGAAAAGGTTTTAGGGTTTTAATTTGACATGGGTGGTTTAGTAATTTCTGATTTTTGTTCACCTATTTTGGTTGTCCCACTCGGGGTGTGGTCTGTCTTAGTCTAATGTCATGCCAAACATGGGACAACAAGATTTTGTATTGTCCTGCCCCGCATACCAAACGCGCTAAATGAACTTGTATCAATATCGAGTCCAAAAAGTAGTTCATTTGACTTCAAAATTCAAGTCGAACTTTTCTTTGCATTGAAATATGTAAATGAGTCATGAACACAAAGGTTACCTCCATGGCTTGGATGATCGTTTGCTTAATTTGTTGAGACGTCCACTTAGGATCGGCATGTGCACCACCAAGTGGTTCCTGTACATATAAATAAACCAACTTAATACTCCATATATCTCTAACTACAACATTTTCTATATTGAGTTGTCCTAAGCAAATTTCAAATTCTCCAATATTGTAAGTTTTCAAGCTAAGATTACTCATTTATTTGGGTCCACATGACGTCCCTAATTTGTCTTATTTATTTGAGCAAAAGGTTGATTATTGGCGATCCCGACCGCCCCCCATGAAACCCACTCCTAGGACCACATGTGAGGAGGCATTTCAGAGTTGACTCAATGGTTAAGGCTAGCGGAGAGGTTCAAGCTCATCTTTATTAATAATTTGTCATCATTTATAAGCGATATTTTAGATATTCAACCGCTAGTCAAACATTCTCCTTAAACTGAATGACAATCAAACATTGTAATTTTCATGGGAAGTGGGGAGTACAAGGAATCACCAAGTGTTGAGGGGCAATGTCAGCTACAATTTCTTTTATCGTCACTCATTGTTCTCCAAGATTTTGCCCTAATCCTAGATCCCATTTGGTTTGCATGATTGGATTGGATTTGGAGGGATTTGGAATTGAATTCAATTCTGATCCCATGTTTGATTTGCTGGATTTCATGGATTTGAAATCCTCGGATTTCATTGAACTCCCACAAACATAGGATTTAAAAATCCCACATGGATGGTTCGATTTCACGGGATTTCGTAGGATTCTTATGTAACCATTTTTTAAAATATGTTAAAAACATTTGTTTTGTAAATTAATTAAAAGATAACATTATTATTTGTAATTTGTTTTTATAAATTATTTATAAAGAATGGAATTCAATTCCATTCCAAATCCTACAAACCAAAACACACCAAAGATTCCAAATCCTTCCACGAAATCCAAATTCCTGAAAACCATTCCATCAAACCAAATGTCCCCTGCCATTATGTAATTTCTTCATGGATTCAAAAGCTTCATATCAACTTCGAAGCTGAAAATTAGTTCGTTTGACCTAACAACGCGAAACAGAGTAACATGAATGTGATGGCCTTATTACAATCTCAACTCTCTATAATGCTAAACAAGGTCTAAAATGTTGATGGAGCTATAGACTAGTAATTAAGCATTAAGCATAAGTAATAGACTAGTAATTAAGCATTAAGAATAAGTATCATATTGCAGATAAACGTCTATATGAACGATGCTGCTTTCATAGATCGTTATAGCATTTTTCTAGCAATTATATGAACATATCCATATGGAAGTAAGATATGCAGTTTCATCATATACTCGAGATCTTACTACAAAAATGGATCCTAAAAGCTCTTCCGAGCAGTTAAATTGGATTTTGATTTTCCCCCTAGTTTCTATTATCTTTCTTGTACATCGAATAAATAGAAAGAACCATAAATGGATTAATAATAGAATAATCACAAAAATAATCACTTTGAGATGKGACCTACAATGAAAGGACCCATTTCGAAACTTGCACAAAATAACCACCCATTTCGCAAAACCCTTTTTTGCGGAAGTCACGTTTTCGCTGAAAATTCCTAGGTTTTGCGCCATTTTGCAGAACACTGTTTTTGCAAAATTATTTTGGAAAGGGCGTAAAACCCTAGGAAAATAGGGTTTCAGCCAAGTGACTTCCACAAAAAGATTTGGGTTTTGCAGAATGGGTGGTTATAATGTGCAAGTTTCAGAAAAAAAAAAAAATAAAAAAAGTCATTTTGTGGTAGGACATCTCTCAAAATGGTTAATTTTGTGATGAACCCTTAATAATAAAGCTCCTGTTTGTTAGCAACTTAATGAGCTTAATAGAACTCACAACTTATTCGGTCAACTATACATGATTGTTTGGTAGCGACTTAATGATATTGAAAGTGGCTTATTCAATAAGCTTCTAGGGGGAGATTTATGCAGAAAACCAAATTTTTTGTGAACCTGCTCCTCCCAATTAAAAAACTCGATCATTCCATCTATGAAAAAACCCTCCAAACAAAAACCTTCTCAATTTATACAGACAGATTAATGCACACAAACAACTTTATCAATACAGAAATTAATGAAAAATCAACCAAACAGCCCCTCAAAATGTACTTACTGGAATGATTCCATCCGCAATCTTGAGCCTGTAATGCTCTTGAGCCGTTATTTTCAGCTTTTCAGCTGCCTATACATATTCAAAATGTTGAAATTAATATATGCACACACAAACACCTATATATGGGATATTCTAGTTTTTGGAATCCCAGATGATGAAAAGTGAATGTGGAGATCACATATGCACAAGCATTAGCCATTAGGGCCCATTGGGTCAACCCATAGGGGGCTTATGTGTGCAACATAGGCATGTGGCATATAGCAACCACAAGCACTATTCTTCATGAATGATTTTCCTTATTATGTACAAAGATGCATCATCTAACTTTGAATTGAAGACCTTTTACCTTAGGAGCTGCCTGTGCTGATTTCCATAGTATTGCCGCACATGCTTCAGGGCTTGTCGCATAAAGATTAATCACGAAAGAGAAAAAGAAAAGAAAAAAAAAAATTACATATAAAGCTAGCAAGACAAGTAGAACCTTTTAAATAACAAGAGACCCTAGTCGATTTATTTCTTTCCTTTTTACACTAATAGAAGGCAATATCGTCTCCGAGAATAATACAATGTAGCTAAGGGTCCGCTTACTGAAAGCTTACCGGGTAATTCATCACCCTCACTTGCCTTATCGGTTAACATTCGCGACCAACAAAATAGATCGTTGGTAAGCATCTATCACCAGGTAAGCACTTACCGAGTAAGAGTCACCACTCTCACTTACCGGGTAAAACTCTCGATCCTTGTCTTGCCTCTTACAGGTAAGATTCTCGGTCATTGCTTATGCTCACCCGGTAAGGAAATTGACCTGGTAAGCACTTACCCAATAAGAGTTTGGTAAATGGCCCCTTAGTCCTAGGTGTGCTTAAACAGATTGTTCGTCATTCTGATCCAGAATAAAGAAAATTTTCCCACATTACCAAGGATAAGTAACAGGAGGAGTTGTTGAACTAATTTTCTACTTCGCTATTATATTAAATTTGAGGAATTTCTGATAAAAAACAATAATTGTATATTCATAACAATAGTACAATGAGAACAAGTTTAATGTTGAGTTATAATTATCTCCATGTCACATTTTCGATTGAAGGGGAGGGTTCAACTGAAAACAGCAAAAAGATGGAATCATGGAAACACATAAAAAGTAAAACACGGATGAAAAGGAATAACAATACAGATGTCAAATTAAAGTGAATAAAATACTGGTTTCTGGTATCCTTTTTTTTGGCTCCAATTTTGATTATATTTCACCTATTTTCGATTTAAAAATAGGGAGTGGGAGATTTTTTTATTTTGATAATGAAGTTGTAACCACTCGGATCCTTTGGACCAAATCAATCTAACTGTTGAGATTTGTTTCCACGTTTCCGACCTTTTTGTCGTTTCTATTTGAACCTCCATGTTCCACTAAATTGTCTTAAAGAGCAATATCTATTTAAAAGAACCAAAAACCTACCTTGCGACATAGAATGCAGCATTTTCCAGCATAAACAACTTATTTGCACATCCAATGGCAAGAGCACCGCCTGATCCGCCTTCACCCGTTACAACTGTAATAATTGGAACCTTGAGGCCAAACATTGTCCTAAGATTAAAAGCTATAGCTTCACCCTGCCATATGGGTACATTTTTAGGCATCCATAGATATCACATATGGCCATGGCATCTTTTTTAAAGATTTAATAGATTACAAGTTACCTGTCCAAGCTCCTCTGATTTTAAATCAGCAAAAGCCCCTGGTGTATCAATGAACGTTACAATCGGAAGTCCATGATGATCAGCATATTTCATCATACGCAAAGCCTTCCGATAGCTGCATTATGGACCATTACCAGTGATCATGGTTTCTCCTTGGCATAATAACAGTAAAAAGTATCGGCCTGTTTTAATTCATAATTCTAGCATCCATAAGGGTGCATTTGGTATGAAGACGAGATTGGACAGGTGGGAGTGAGGTATGGGGTGAAAGAATTGTGCAAGGTTTTGGGTTTTAATTTCATATGGGTAGTTTAGTAATTTACCAATCTTGTCCCATCTCCTTGATTTTTGTTCCATCTGTTCTGGAGGGACTGCATTTTTGTCCCTCTCAATCATGTCCTGTCGCAGTCTTAATGTCGCACCAAACATGGAACAACAAATTTTTGTCCTGTCTTGTCCTGTCCCGTCCCGTAACGTACCTTGTATCAAACACACCCTAAAAAGTGCCCAACTATTACCTTATACACACCAATTGTTTTCACCGTATAGCATCATGTCAAGAAGGGGTGAGCCTTGGAGCAACAATAAGGTCAAGGTCAAGTCATGGAAACAGCCTCTTTGCAATAATGCAAGGAAAGACAATAGCAAACAGGGACGGACCCAGGTGGTGCATGTGGTGGCACGGGCCACCACTTTGTTCCTCCGTTGTAGTGTAAAAAATTATAGGGTCGTGAAAAGTGTCACCGTGTCAATTTGTTGTGTGCCACCGTATATATTTTGAAACTACAATTAGGGCCCAAGTTTCCCTTAGTAGAGTTGGTTTGCAAGGCTTTTCTTCCACCCCAGACCCGAGTTCGGATCCCGTTAGTGACATTTTCTTTGTTTTTAGCTTTTAATTTCATATTTATTATGTTTTTTGAAAAAAAAATGCAATAAAAGACTTGGACACAGGACCTCACATATGAAAAGCAATGAACTAACTAACAGACCGATGATGATTTTGTGAAAAATATCCCTATATTTGTTTCTTATAGTCAAATGGTGCCACCACTTGAAAAAATTTCTAGGTTGTCTCTGATAGCAAACACTCCCCTCCCAAACCTTGCAAAATAAAGGGCCTTGGTGCACTAGGTTGCCCTTTAATAATGAGCTTGAAAAATATTTATAAAGTTCCAAAAAAAAAGATATAAGGTTTGACTTTTGAAGTCAAATGAAAAAAAGAACTTGACTTCCAAATTTTGTAAGAGTGACATAAAATTCTATAGCCAATACTTCATCTGTAAAATGTCAGTGTACATTAAAAAACTAAATCCACATGAATATTATTTTTAAAAATAATAGGATTGGCCTCAAAAGTCAGAGCATCACTTTTCCTAGAATGAACAAAGAATCGGAAAAAGAATAATAGAGAATAAACAGTACAAGACCAAAGGGTCATTGACCCGGTGGTATCCAGGTTACTAGTAGAGCCCAGCCTCTCGGGAGGTCAAGGGCTCAAACCTCATCAAAGGTGAGTGTTCATTAGTATTTGCCGCATACTAATATTATCTACTTCATAAAATAGTATAAGAAAACTGATAGCAAACCAAAATCTTCTCGAGTACTAAATGTAACACTGAAGATTATATGAGTTTTAAGGAAAATGGTCATTATCAACTGAAGTAGTTTACCCATGAGGAGTTGGCATTGCGAAGTTGCGTGCTATATTTTCCTTTGTGTTCCTACCTTTCTGCTGACCAATGAACATGTAGCTTTTCCCATCGATGCTCCCAATACCAGTCACCATGGCTGGATCATCGTAGCCTGCACGGTCTCCGTGGAGTTCCACCCACTTCATGGTATATTGAAAATAAGCAAGACGTTACTGGCTACTAATAACTAGAAAAGCAAGAGACCATGAGGAAAAGTTATAACACCTTCTCTGTCATGTTTAAGATATGATCAAGAACGGTAGGCCTGTTTGGATGTCGAGCAAGATTTAGGCGTTGAATTGGTGTCAAATGAGTATATAAATCCTTAAGTGCCTGAAAAATTGCAAATCTGTGTGAATTCAAGGTCTAAAAATCATTGTATCTTATATCAATAGAACATCAAGATAAAACTACTATATATTGTTCCATGTATATAAAAGCAGAGTATAAAGAATCTAGTTTTATATATTTTGTACATCTACCATGACGATAGAGATTGAAATCACAGCAAAGCAGATCAGTTAAGATTTACCTGTTGATACTTCTTTTCCAATGTACTGATTTGATCACTGAAATCCAACCCAGTTTCTTCAACCATTCTGCGTATCTGTGTGACGAGGCCATTTAAAGTGTGAAATTAAGTATGCAATATCCATGTAGACGTATAAAAACAGTGCTGGATTTTGAATATACTCCGGGCACGTTTGGTTTGAATGAATGTTTTTGAGGGATTTGGATTTCGTGGAAGGATATGGAATTGGGAGGATTTGGAATCTTTGGTGTGTTTGGTTTGTAGGATTTGGAATGGATTTGAATTCCGTTTTTATAAATAATTTATAGTAACAAATTATGAAAAATATTTAAATTACCTTTTTATTAATTGATTATTACAAAACAAGTGTTTTTAACATGTTTTAAAACATCATTACAAACAAATCCTATAAAATCCCTCGAAATACCAACTATCCCCATGGGATTTCTAAATCCCATGTTTGTGGGATTTCAAATCCAAGCATTCCTTCAAACCAAACATTAAGATTGGAATAATCCTATCAAATCCTGCAAACTAAACGGGACCTTAGTTTTTAATTACAAGAACCATATACAAAAGCTTATGGCTAAATAAAAGTTTTAACTAAATTTTCTAAACCGCTACGGATTTTAATACAATTTCAAAACCAAGTAACAAGTTATCAAAATTGAGTCACTTAAAAAATCCATATTTTAATTTGGAGCTTGAAATTCGTAGCTTTGACCAAATAAATCAAATTTTTACCTATTTCCGATACTCTTTTGGAATATAGGATGTAAATGTATTTTCAATTATGAAGTTTACCTCAATAATCTTTTGCTCCAAACTGACCAGCGGCTTCTCAAAGGCAAGTGTCACTGGTTTTGGCTTCTCAGCCAAAGGTTTAAAATTCGATAGGTAGCTTAAAGCCTCAGCACCAGTTGTGCTACTTGGGATATCATCAGGCCAAGGGTAATCATGCTTTCTCCCTTTCTTAATCCTAGCTATAACATGAAACCTTTTCGAATTGCTCGATCTATAGCCTTTTAGGTTCTTGATCCAAACACCAATGAAGCTTCCGGAAGAGTTGTTGCGTAAATATTTTGTATCAAAATCACAGCCAAAATACAAAAGCGTCCCATGTTTAACGCTACCACTCTGTCTTGCACAGGGTCCAACTGTTAGCGGTAGGGTACTCATCAAATCTCAAGCCACTACTTCCTCATATACAAGTTTTGAGCTACCCTAGAAAACACATCGAAGTAGCAAATTCATGTAATTTACACATAGCAATAAATTATTTTATCACATAACAAGAAACATCCACTAACCGCAAAACTCATAATCTCATGAAACTATTGTATAGATACATTTCAACTTTTGCAGCTCAATGGGTCAATTTGAATCCTAGCTAAACACGATTGCATGCTATTCTACAGAATATGGACTTTCTTATTTCCAGTCCTATGTGTATATAGACGTGTTATTCATCATGAATCACACATTCACGATGAATATAGGCGTATACATCATGAATCACACATTCATGATGAATATAGACGTGTCATTCATCATGAATCACACATTCATAATGAATATGTTACAACATTCACTATGACTATGTTACAACATTCATGATGAATAACAAGTCCATATTCCGGATGAATATGCCAAGTGTCATGCTGTGGGCAGTCCCCATTCTTAATGAAAATGAGGTTTTGTCCTGTGTGTGTCAGTGTCAATTGTGCAATCAGAAGATGACTAGTTTAACATCAAATCAATGTGTATCTGTAATTTTGCAACTGAAGTATGATAGAAGTTCTCATTGTAAGGTTTTCCTGTGTTCATATTGAAAGTTTGCGTTCCCCTTTCCTCATGAACATCGTAGGTATCACAATTCACTCCACAAGCTAGAAATTGACACCAAACCATGAATCATAGCCAAAAAAAATGAGTCCAGAAGTTCATATCATAAGATAAAACAACAGAGTAACACCAAAATTGCTCTCAATTAAAACAACTAGCCTTCATTTCAACTTCGTAGTTAGGTAGAAAAAGATAGCCCTAAATTCTGCAACAAAATACACATGAATGCTGCATTTGGAAATTACTGTGATTCAAATCAACCATCAAAGTAGTAAAACTCACCACAAACCACGTCAAATCACTGCCAAACGTAGAAGAGTATGAAAAGCGATCTCTAGGGTTTAGATTAATCCTAAAAAAAAACAGTTGTATAGAGAGCGCGAAAGCTTACCAATTGAAGTTGATATGAGGTATCAATGGCTTCAGGATGACAGGGGCTTGACAAATATGTACCTTCCGCTTCATTACTTGTACAATTGATATTGCTTACGTGTGATGATTGGCCAAGAAGGGTCTGGATCAAATACCACCACTTCTTTGGATAATATTTATTGCTCCCATTTTGTAGGCACCGAAAAATCTTAAAAGTTTTTTTTTTATCAGAACCAGAAGTTACTGTATAATGCAGTGAGATCTATCTTGATTTTAATATTTTGTTTTATTCTTTATTTCAGTCGATGTTATAATATAATCTTATGTGGTTTTGAAAATACGACAATATTTTTATATTTGAATAAAATATAAATTTATATATACTAGTTGTGTACCCGCGCAATGCGGCGGGAGCCATGAATTTTAACGATTTTGAAGTTCCACTGGTTTTATAAGATAAGATTTGACGATGATATATGTTACACTTGGTCTTTACATATTAATACAATTTGAATAAATAAGAGTTATGATTCCAATTACAGACTATCGATGAAAAAAAATTGTATGACAGTTTAAAATCTAATATATTTAAAATCCAACATATTTAAACGACTCCACAAATGTGTTCGATTTACACCAAGACCAAAGAACCAAGAAACTTGAGTTTTAAGATAAACACTCAAAACCAATAAAGAAAACTACATATTTGACAGATCATAAGCCATGAAAAGACCAAAAAAGTTGGGTTTTAGAATAAAATTTCAACTGCTTACCCTTTTTCTTGTCTAGAAACTCATATTAAGGTTGAATTAGTACATGTATATATATATATATATATATATATATATATATATATATATATATTTCAAAAAAAAACTCAACATATTAATTCAGAACATGTTATACAGTGCAATTTGGACAGCCTAACCCCAAAATATATAGTATATATATAAATAAATAACTATATAAGTATAAATCGTAAATATTAAAAATATTTTTTCACAGTATATATAATATATAATAATATAATTAAGTCAAAAAATATTCTATATTGGACTCATTTCAAAGGTATTAACGAGACGATTATAATGGTGTAACTTTTTAAAATAAAAATGTATTTTTTAAACATGTTTTAATTGATATACGATTATGTATGTTAATTTGATAAAAGTTTAAAATGAAATATTTAAAAGTAAAGGACATAAAGTAAATTAATTAACTAATTATAAGGGTATAAAGTGTAAATTTATAATTATAATTTTAAAAAAATCGGTTAGTGTATGTGAGAGGGTAAGTGTATGTGAGGAGAGGAGAGGGTGAAAAAGTGACCTAAAGGTAATATAGATAAGGGTATCTTGGTCATTTTAGAATTTTAAGACTTTAAGACTTTTGCTAAATTTGTTTAATAAGATAGTATAGATATCATAAAATTTTAACAAAAATGTATCGATATTAGTATTAAATTAACTATTTAAAATTTCTCATTTTTGTGTAATTTTTCAATTTAAAATTTTATTATAATTCAATTTAAGTTCAATAACGAAATAATTTATATTTGTTTTAATAATATATTTTTTTATAAATATAATAAATAATTATTTTGTTAGAATTCGATAATTATCCTAATTATAGTTTGGATTTTTTATATTTTAAAATGAGATGTTTATCTTGTATTTGATTATTTTTATCTGCAGTTAGTTATATGAATTCATATATGAAGCTTTAATAAGTTGTACTTATACACAATTTATTTGTAATCTTGAATTTTAAGTAATATGCATCAATAAACAGTACTTCATGCCTAAGATATGGTTTTTAAGAGTTTTTGTCAAATGTTTTATAATAAACTAGGTTTGACCCCGTGTATTACACGGGGAATCTTAAATGAGAAAAACTTTGGACATTAACTCTGAAAGAAAACTCTGAACATTAACTCCGGAACACAATAATTCAGAATTCTATTGTTAGGATGGAAAATAATTCTAGACTTAACTTTGAATAAGAGGAATTCAGAGTTGTCTTCTAAGTCTAGAAAGTATCTACGAGCATAACTCTGAGTCACAAGAATTTTGACTTCTTATAACTCAGAAACGTAACTGTAACGCCCTCATTTTCCTTCAAGAGAGTCGTTACGTAATCTAAAACATTTTCCTTAATAGATACGCCAAAATATTGGCTAAATTAAAACCATTTAAACTATTACAGCGGAAGTCTTTGAATCACCCAAATTTAACTTAAGTTCTAATCCACTTTCTCTTGGGGTTAAGTTACAAAAGATCATTACAGCGCAGCTAGTCGAAAGAATGTGAAATAGATAAAAATGAGCAACTCTCTAAGCATGTCCTTTGCCTTTATCCGTCCTCGAACTACCTGGGCCTGAGATGCATACTATAGTCAGCTTATAAAGTTCAGTGAGTTCATGGTTTTCGTGTGTAAAGATTATTGCACATCGCACATTTCAACTTGTAAACTTTGTATTAAATAACATGTATTTTCTGATAAACACGTTATACTGAACAAGAATGAAATCTCCCGATTTGATTGTCGGGTATGAGTTGTTTAGTCACTGACATTCCCTGGCCAGCATCTGCCTGGACACTCATTACGGGATCGTGCCACTTGTCGTGTGTGAGTCATTTAGTCACTGGCATTCCCTGAGTTGTCCAGCCTGCATCCGCCTAGACACTCATTACGAGGTCGTGCCACTTGTCATGTGTGAGTCATTTAGTCACTGGCATTCCCTGAGTTGTCCAGCCTGCATCCGCCTAGACACTCATTACGGGGTCGTGCCACTTGTCATGTGTGAGTCATTTAGTCACTGGCATTCCCTGAGTTGTTCGGCCTGCATCCGCCTAAACACTCATTACGGGGTCGTGCCACTTGTCATGTGTGAGTCATTTAGTCACTGGCATTCCCTGAGTTGTNGGCATTCCCTGAGTTGTCCGGCCTGCATCCGCCTAAACACTCATTACGGGGTCGTGCCACTTGTCATGTGTGAGTCATTTAGTCACTGGCATTCCTTGAGTTGTCCGACCTGCATCCGCCTAGACACTCATTACGGGGTCRTGCCACTTGTCATGTGACTTCCTGGTCAAATGCTCACCCGCTAAAACTGGTCATAAACTTTTATCATGGAATAGCATGCTAGAGTTATTCGAAAACTGATTAAATACATAGCATGCAACTGATCATAAAAACGTCATACATGTAAAAACATATCATGTATGTAAACTGAAACATCATGCACTTGTATCATCATCATATAAATTGTATAGTGCTTGAAAATATATTTATACATAGGTATGCATCCCATTGTAAGTCTCATGAAGACTCACCTGATAACGTCGATTGCTTACTTAACGGTGCTGACTGGTACCCTACAGTTTATAATAGCGAATAGTACATAAATGATAGATTCCTCCAAGGACTATAAAAGTCAACTCACTGTCAACTATCCGCTTGCTATTCTATAAGTCTTATCAAGCCATCGAGATTAAGGTTGAAACTCTAAGGCTGCCTCTGTGCTAAGTCTTGGAGAGGACCAGAGCCTCTGTGGTATCGACCAGCCCCTCTGTGGTCTCTCTCACAGAGCTATGGTCTCACAACCAGAGCCTCTGTGGTATCGACCAGCCCCTCTGTGGTCTCTCTCACAGAGCTATGGTCTCACAACCAGAGCCTCTGTGGTATTGACCAGAGCCTCTGTGGTTGGAGCCTTAGAAAATTTGGTACTAAGGACCAGAGCCTCTGTGTCTATCGACAAAGCCTMTGTGACTTAACTAAAATTATTTTATTAGGAGTCCAGAGTCCCTCTGTGGTTTCTTCCAGAGCCTGTCTTAAACAACTTGATACAGAGCTCTCATGTAGAGTTTTCTGTATAACGTAACTTGGTACGAAGCT